CTGTATTAGTCCAGTTGACTAGAGAAACAAACTCATCGACACTCATATATGTGTAAGAGAGAACTTTATATCATAGAGCAACTGTCTATTAAGAAAACATCTCAGCCCAGTCTAGATCAAGTCCATAAGTCTAATATTAGTCCACATGTCCGATACCAGTCCATAAATTCCTCTTTAGACTCACACAGCCATGCAATCATGCTGAATGCAGGAAGATCCCAGGACTGGGGGTGGAAAGTCTTGTGGACCCAGTGGCAGTGGAAGCATCTCAGCGCTGGCATGGGTCTCCACATGGCTCCTCCAGCGCCAGGGCTTTGGCCGCCATCAGTGTGTCTCCAGGTAGCTTGTCAACAGGAATGTGTAGCAGAGAGAGCATGTGTCCTGCCTCCAGGGAGGTAGAAAGGCGTTCCCAGAATCCTCAGGAGAAGGCCATGCCCACACAGAGGCAATATTGGCTATGGCCTGATTGACAGGCTAGACTTCACCCCTTTGCTCAAGTTGATAGGAGATTGTGTAACTGCCACCCCCATCCCCCAATAAAATAAACCAAACCCACTGCTCCTGAATGGCTCCTGACACATAGTGGCCCTACAGGGCAGGTAGAACTGCCCTTGTGTGTTTCTGAGCCTGTAAATCTTTATGGGAATAGATGCCTCATCTTTCTCCCTGGTGGGTTTGAACTTCGGACCTTGTGGTTGGCAGCTGAATGTGTAATCCACTACCCCACCAGGATAGTTCTCGTCTGGGAAGCCTAGGACAATGGGATCGGAATAGATCCAGTGAAGATACAGCCTAACACTGTCTGTGACCCAGGTCCTGACCCCCAAATGAAGCTCCATTCTCATAGACTGACACCTGCCACCTGGCTTCCTCTAGGGACATTTTACGAAAGTAGCAGCATCTGCTTGCTACTTTGAAGACACGGGGGAAGCGGCCACACAGCTGCGCCTGCTCAATCCCTTCCTGACGGAGTACTTTGGGAAACAAACCTCAGGGTCGAGCAAACACGTTACACGCACTTGCTCAGAGTCGTGGTGTTGGACAGAGACACATCCCAGTCCGCAGGCTTGCGGCCAGCGGGTTCCGTTCTGGGAAACGGGAGGTGAACGTTAGGTTGAGATCCCTGAGAAGTCTGTTCACGTGCTTGCAACACAGTGGACGATTTGCATCCTTCAAAAACAATGAGGATACCAATCGATGGATGGATTGTTAAAAGCTGCTGTCAGAGCCCCCAATTAATGATTTATAAACAAAACAAAACAATAAGGAGTCTGTCAGG